CTAAATTTCAGCCATCACCCACTTCAAGACCTTTAAAGACTTGCCAGAGCATCACACTCAAATGGAGACAGAAGAACCACAATGCATTAATTTCTTGCTCCAGTTCCCCTGTTCGAGTATGGTGCTTATCTCAAGCTGCAGCCTGCTTATCTCCCATTTGTGACAACAACAATCTCTACTAGCTGTCATACATGACAATTTGGCTGCTGCTGTCTTCTGCTGTCAGTGTTTTAGCACAGGGTTTTGCTTTCCTGTGTGGAGGTCTCAGCTGCTTTTGTCTTGCAGATGATCTTCGTAACTGGCTCCTTTCACTGGACAGTAGATGTTGGTCAGCCCAAGGCTCTTAGCTGTCGTGCCCTCTGCCATTGCTGTGTGTTGCGGAGAGAGGACACCTACATCTTTTTAACCTTCTCCATACATGCTTACCATGATGAATAGAGGTGAGGGAGGGAAATGGAAGCCATGCTATGTTCCATTCAGGTCATCTTTATGACATTCATCTTGGTCAAGCCAGTGGAAAGGAGTCTAGTTTATAACTGGCAAACACTTCAGTACAGGGAAAAGCCTTGGGAGAAAAAGACCAGATCATGAACACAGAGCTCCACTGAGAATGTTGACTGCAGAGGCCACAGTAAGGATGCTGTGTGCCCTGGTTTGGTTGGAATAGTTATTTTTCTGCATAGCAGCTGGTACAGTGCTATGTTTTGGATTTAGGATGAAAATAGTCTTGACAACACACCCATGTTTTAATTGTTGATGAACAGTGCTTACACAGACTCAAAGACTTATACATCTCATGCTGCCTGCCTGCAAGATGACTAGGAGTACACAAGAAGCTGAGAGCAGTGAGCAATTGCATTGTGCATCACTTTTTTTTTTTTTTTCCCTTTGGTTATAGGTGGATTTCCTTCCTTCCTCTCTTTATTTTCCCAATTTTTATTAATCTGTCTTTATCTCATCCCAAAAGTTAAAAAAGTTTTTTAACTTTTACCTTTCCTATTTACTCTCCCAAATCCAGCTGGTGTGGGGGGGCGTAGAGTGTGCTGTGTGGTGCTTAGCTGCCTATCAGGGTTAAACCACAACACTGTGCCTAGACTGCACAGCCTAGTTGTCCAGAAGAAAATCAACTACAGTATTATCATTCTCTTCAGTAGAAAATTTAAGTCTCAGCACTGACATAACTCCAGAGGATACAAGCCAATACTGCCAACATCTCATGGAAAGAAAAAAATATGCATGGTAAGAAGCCACAATTCTGCTTCTAAGGGAAAAAAAAATCCAAAAACAAACAAAATAAACAACAACAACAAAATACGTTTGAAAAATAGGGTGCATTTATTTAAACTTAGGTCATTTTTTACTTCCTTAAAACTCCTTTTTTTGTGTGTGTGTGTGTGTGTTTGTGTTTTGGTAAGGAGCGCCATCTGTGTGCTTTCACGCAAATGACACCACAAAGAAGAGGGATACATTTACATAAAGATATGGTAATAGGAAGATGAAGATCAGGACTGGATCCATAAAACATAAGGAAACAAGGAAATAGAAGAACTGAAATTCAGAAATTTTGCCTTTGACTTACAAAGAGGGAGAAAAAATAAAGAGACAAAAGATCCCTGGCAGAATCTGATCCTAGAGGACATGAAAGGCAAGTCAAAAGTCCACTCCTCACTTCTGTTCAAGAACCCACAAGACACATTTGTGGCCATACACATGTACTTTGGTATGCGTACGTGCGTGTGTATGAATTAAATCCATGCAAGAATAAATCTAAGTACGTAAAATCAAACTCATTGAGTTCATAAAAACAAACAAAAGCTACTAGCTTCCCCTTCCGTAAGTTCTCACAGTGAGTTTGATATTTCCTACGTTAGTTCTCAGGTATATAGCAAATGGACATGACTGATTCAGTGCCAAGAAAAGCCACGGAGAAGGAAGATGCTACACTGTTGTGGCAAAGTACAACAGGGGCAGCAGCTGAATGACAGCAGACATCAGAATTCTTGGTGAGTATTAGTGATACTGAATTACTACAGGATAAAGAAGAGAGGACATTATTCCTATAAAATAAGTTAAGCAATAGCCTTCCATTAATACCAGTAATATTCTGAGACATTCTCTTGCTCATCAGAAAAGTGGATTACTATACAATCAAACTTACAAAATGATCGTTTAAAGTTTATAATGAAAGGATATTTAAAGAGCTCAAACAGGTACTCAGGTATTTATTTTTTTTAGCTATTTTTTTTTCTTAAGATTGAAGCTAAGTAATCTGAAGTTTTTTCAATAGGGCTACTATGCAGCCATTCATGCCCCCGCTGTTGTACGGGGTTAGTCCATTCCAGGTGCAGAATTTTGCATTTGCACTTTTTTCATTTCATGAGGTTCCTGTTAACCCATTCTTCCAGCTTCTCTAGGTCCTCCTGAATTGCAGCCTTGCACTTGGGCAGATCGGCTCCCTGCCCTTCTCTTCCTAACTCATTGTAATTTGCAGCCTTGATGAAGGAATCTGACATGACTCCCATCCTTCAGGCTGAAGATATTGTTGGTGTGCATAATTATATCACAACATGTTCTAGGTGACATATTGCTGCAGCTATGTCTAAACAATGTGCCATTGCTTTGCCCTGTCCATGTCAATACCCATGTCTTAGCTCTTGTAGGCTCAGTTTAAACCTTTGGAGGGGCAGTGCCAATATGGCGAAGCTCAGAAGGGAAGGAAATGAACCGTGACTGGAAGATGAACAACTGAGAGCAGTCAGGCAAGATACCCAAAATTCACAGCCTGTTGTGGAAACAGGGTGACCAAGACAGAAGAAAAAAAGGCAGTGGGGACAGCAAACTGGTAGTTGGTGAAAGAAACTGAGATCAGATGCGTTAGGCAAAGAGACTGGAACAAGGAGCTGACAGAATTGCAGGCTCCAAGACATGCATACATTAGAAAACATTCAGTGACAAGTTCTTGAGAATTTGCTCTTGTTAAAACATGGGGAAAAGAAAAAAAAGTGTTCTTTCCCCAAGAGCTTCACTTTTTGAAACAGATGAGCCCTCAGTATTCAGACACTCCACTCACCATGAAATGCGTACTAGGATCATTTAAATAGAAACATTAATGCACAGGAAAGATGACAAAATGCAATTACAGATGCAGGGTATAACAGTCTCATGAAAGCTAATACTAGCGTAAAGTGACATTTCCCCTTTAATTAAATTATCCTTATCTCAATCCATGAACTTTCTTGAATGCATTCAAGATGAACAAGGAAGCTTCAACACACACACACACACACTTGGAAGTCTTTTACATAGCTCTTCAGTATTTGCCCTCACAGTTGTGAAATCAGAATTTAAACATTTTAAACAATATCTACACTCCAACAGGAAAACCAGGCAAGCAAAATGTCTTTTTACAGACCTCCATTCAGAGAGCAGTAAGCCTACAAGCCCAGATACCAAGTCAGCAGAAAAACAAAAACAGATGTATCTAGGCACTAACTAAATGCATAAAATCCTGCCAATAACCTACTATGTAACACCTAATATTTTTTTAAAAAATAACTCTCAGCTCTGCCTATTTCATGCCTAGAACCTTTGCCAGTTAAGTACTCAGAATTTCCCATACAGTCCTGAGGAAAAAATATTGCAATTTTGATGTTGCATTGAACACTGAGGACTAGAATAACTTGTTCTTCACTAGAAATGTTTTTTCATGCTTTTTAATGCCCAGGTTGAGACAGAGTTCAGCCTCTGAGCTATGCATTCACAGAGTATTTCTGTTCCCAGCTGTTCTCATTCTCCCATAATTAAGAGCTTTGCCCACTAAAGTGTGTTTTGAGGCCAACACCAACATAGGAAGACATTTCTTAATGGCACCATCTAGACTGATCTAGACTGCAGTGCCCACAGGGGGAAGACAAAAGGGGCAAGTGAACTATGGAGAGACTGATGAGTCACAAGAGATAGGTGATGCATTAAGGCAAGCATTTTATTATCACTGTATTTTCTTTCTTCAGCTGTCTGTAGGCAGCACAATTTCTTATGTTTCTTCTGATACAGCTGAGTATTTCTTGACATTGCTCTTCCTATGCAGCCTTCTCCTATTTTTCCCCCCTCACTTCTTTTCTTTGACTTACGCACACAGGCAATATGCATGTTTCCTCAGATTTGCTCCATTTGTCATGATTTTTTGGATTAAAAAAAGTCTGAAGAATGTCTCTCTTCAAAATCAGTCTTTTGGACGTTGTAAACCTCCCCACTACCCCTGGGAGGATATCAGATATGGCCACATGCACCAATACACTTTTACATCATCAGAGTACTGCACGGAATGCATGTAACATCCCAGAAACCTTCCAAAATAAGCAAGAAGCCCTCAAGTCTCACCCTACCTAGGTACAGGCAGATTTTTAGCAGCAGAGATGCTTTTCAGTACCATTTAAGTGTTTGTGAGTATAGAAGAAAGATTTCCAGCTTCAATTCTCACTTACTGAGAGGGAAAGGCCTAAAAATAAGAAGTGACAAGGTTTCTTGTGCTCCTCTGTTCTAATGCTTCCTCAATACACTTACAGTCCCCAATACACTTACAGTTCAGAGATATTTCAGGTCCATTTCCTCAAGTTCAGATAGGACCCAACATACATTAGAAAACACCAACACAAAAGGATATAAGTTTGCTACAAACTGCTCCTGAGCCTTGTAGCTAAGAGAAATATCATATACAAACTCCCTCTTCACAGGGAAGAAGGCTCCTTAAGACTAGATAGAATGTATCTGTTATTTAAGGCCTAAGTTGCAGAAATGACAGACTTAGTTATGTTTTCTTCTGAAGAACTTTCCAAGGAGAGAAATACTAGGAAATACCTAGACGCAGGGAAAAGGGAAGAGAGGGAGAACCAGGAGCTAGGAAAGGCCCATACATTCGAGTAACTGATCTCCAGTTCAGATATCACAGTCTAAGTACTGTTGCTCTTTTATGAGGGGGGAAAAAAAGCTCTCGCGATTCATTTATTTAAAAAGGCAACACTTTAATATTGAACATCTTAAAAACACTGAAATACAAAGTTCAACTGTTTTGAAGAGGAGATTCTGCTTTTACACAAAAGCAAATTGAACATCCAAGAAATTATGAACAGTTCCAAGAGTTTCCATAGATTTTTAGCAACTCTTATTATAGCTCTTAAGTCCAGAGCCACGTGACTCTGATATGCTTAACTGATAGAAAACAAACCCCAAACATTTCAGCATACTCCTCCTTCACTTTGAAGGAATGCCCTTTAAGGCCTCTCAATTTACCTTAAATTGATTCTATTGACTTAATATAAAATCCTGTATAATAAGAACTAGTGTGTTACTTTTGAAGTCTGCCTTTACACACACAAAATGTGTCATACCAGATCCCACAGGGTTTTATCTTTGCACCAGAATCTGACATCACCGTACTTTACATCACCAGCAAGATGACTTGTTAAGAGTAGTAGTGTTTCCTATTCTTAAAATCTAAATCCTATTTTATTCAGTACTAACACAGATCATTTTAACAAAGCAACAAAGCATCTTAAAAAGTGAATAAAATTTCCAAATTCAACACAGGTTCAAGAGAAATACTGCTACAGGTGCAAGCCACGAAGCTTATAATACATGCGGTGTATTATAGTCAATACATGCGGTGTATTATCGTCAACTTTGCTTCACTTTTGAAGCTCAAAAGCTCTGACACTACTACTAGACTGTGTCAGGTATGACCAAGGAGGTAGAAAGGACCAACCATTCTTAAAACTCTGCTCTTACTAACCTTAAAAGGCCTCACGGACTCCTGTAGGGACAATACTTTTTCCCCACAGATTTCACAAGATGGTGCACCTGAGCTTCAGTGTTCCTCTCCAAGCAGTAATTATTTCCTCAAGTCCTCCTACTACTCCCAATGAACTAAGACAACAGCATGCAATAACAAAAATACAAATGTTTTATAACTCTTGTTGACTTATTCTCATGAAATGTCGGGAAGCAAGGTAACCCTGAATGGTATTTTGTTTTTAAAGAAAATAATAAATCTAGTTTTAGTAGTAATGCTGGCCTGAGAATCAGTTACGGTCACCTACATTTAAAGCCTTACTGAATGAAAGAAGTTTTTGTAAATTATGCTGGGAATAGTGCTGCAGTTGATTTTAACCCTTTACAGATGTGTGCAAGTGACACACTTATATAAATTAGACTTAATAGGAGTTGCTTAAAGAATCCCTGAATATTTTATCATCAGCTTCAGCTCATTAGGAGAGGTCCAGTGACTGAAGTACATATTAAAGATGTACCATTTAGGAATCAAGGCTTAAATTTAAAGCAGTATCTTATATGTGGATATTCCATTTAACTGCACCTTGGTGATAAAGATCTCTTGGGTTGCCCTGACAAAACACATTGGTGGCCAACACCTCCGCATACTGCAATGAATAAATGGATTTGTTCACCTTCCATTAGATGATGCATCCTTCAAAAGCTGACAGTAAGGTCAGCATCTGCAAAGGTACGACAGTTTCAAACATGTTCTCATTCAACATTACAACACAGAGAAGACAGTATAAAATGGTATTTGCATTTGTTTACATTTGACACATTCATAGCACAAAGGTGATCAAGTTGTAGAAGCTGCAGGAAATTGAGAGGTTGGGTGCTGACTGAGAGAGAGGTGCTGAGGGAGAATTTCAGAAGCAGATGACTGGGATGAGCGATGGGTACTTTCAGAGAGGAGACTGCTAGGATTAAGAAGGGGAAAAGAAAGAGATGCCATTGCAGCAGCTTGCCGTCCTAGCAGCAGTCCTAAACTATAAACATTTGAATTAATGACATCATTGCCTGGCAGGAGTATATTTAGTTGTTTCTGAATTTGCTGCAGGACCTGCAGCTGACTTTGCTGATTCAGAAGAAGCATGTCCATGTTTTCCCTCATTTTCTTCACTGTACAAAGAAAAGAGAATGTCAATGTTTGCTACGTAAAAATAATTTGCATGGCAATCTAGACACCTTTTTATACTCACACTCTTCAAAAATAAGATCTGATTGATCCATATCAAGTTTCTCTGTACCACTCCTTTGCTGTTCTTTACGCTGCTGAGATGTACGTTCAGAACAGTATGCACCTAAAAGGAAGACAGTCTGAATCAAAACCTACTTCACCATCATCAATTGCTAGATCAGTATTTTAAGTATGTTTTCATACAATAAAAAGGCAGCTTAGTAACAACCCTTCCTCTCACCCATACATTAAAACTAAAACTTCACTCAAGTCACCTGATGACCCAGACTAAGCCAAACCAGAACTAAAACTAAACAGACATAGCCTCCTGAAATATTACAGACATGGGTTTTAACACATTCAAAATATGTTCACAACTGTATCTCTCACCTGAACTCCAGTAAGCTATAAAGCTTTCTTCTTGCTTCCCCCATGCACACTTTTCTCCTTTTTGAGGGGGACAGGGGAGTGAAAGCGCACAGGGTAAAGAAGCAAAGCTGGAGGAATGTGGCTCTTAAGGCACCATACAGGCACTGATTAACAAAGCCTAAATCCCTTCCGATTCCCTAAGCTTAGTGTTTTGTTGGTTAATCACTTCTGAAGACCTAGTGCTAGACATCAGGCAACACTATGTATCAGGAGTAAGGTGGACTTGAGAGCTTTGCAGTCTAAGGTCCCGAGCAGCCCTCATGATAAAGTATAAAATTTCAATTCAACTTCAGCACTTACCAGGTACTTCTTTAAATGCCGTATATAGGAAGGGGAGGGAAAAAGAAAAAAAAAAAAAGGAAAAAAAGGAAAAAATCCACCATACCCATATCCAAAGCAAGGAGGGGCTAGCATTTTGTAAGGACTGGAGATCACAGTGTCCAATACATCCCGTGCAAGTTTGTACAGCTTCAAATAAAACTCAGTAGATCTTAATTCAGTTACCTGATGTGTTTTTACTGGGGGTCTCTGTCACATGAATCCCTTGACCTTTGATGAAGCCTGAATATGGACAGATGCGATTTCCACACTCAGCACACCCACAGGGCTTCTCATCCACATGGGTTCTCTGATGTTGAGACAGCACTGTACTTTCACTCTGGCTGTGTGTATCACAAGAAAAGGCTTTCTTTTTTGCATGGATTTTGCGGTGAGCAATAAGATTTGAACTACAGCCAAAGCTCTTCTCACATTCCTTGCACTTGTATGGCTTCTCTCCTGTATGGATTCTCCTGTGCACTACCAGGCCAGCTTTTCTCTTAAATCTCTTTCCACATTCTAAACACTCAAATGTTTTTTCTCCTGTGTGGACTCTCATGTGGTTCAGGAGAGTAGTGGTCCCCTTGAAGCCTTTCCCACATTCAGTACACTTGTAGGGCTTTTCATCTGTGTGTAGCATCTGCTGATTAGCAATGAGAGTCAGTTTCCTGGAGCCTCTTCTTGCTTTGTGAGCAGGTTTATTGCACGTTGCCCTCTGATGCTGTTGTAGTCTGGCTGCCGCCCAGCCTGGACTGTGGGTTTCAGGTAGCTGAAGTGGTTCATTTTGCTCATGGCTTTCCAGGATATCACTTTCTTCTTCACTTTCAGTCAAAATGCAGTCCCCTGATGGAGCAAGACAGCAATCTGTTACTTCTCCTTCCCTAAGACAGGCAAGCATTTCCTTGTAAAACAAGTGAGTTTCTCAAGCCTAGCATCAACTTGCATCAAGTTCCCTTTTCACAAAGTGAAAGGGAAATTATGAAGATTGAATCAAGAAGACAAGGAATGGAGTGGCAGGAAGCAGTACATGGAAGAGAAGGGTAAAATCCTGCCTTTTCTCTGCCTTCCTTTCTACATTTTCCTATTCTTCCTCCTCTCAGGAAGTGGAGAAGGAAGACTACCAAAATGAAGGAAAGAAAAGGAACATGCTGAAACATCTCAGCCATCACAAAAAGCTAGTTTTAGATATTCATTCCTGAGGGCAACGCAGAAGACTTCAAGCCTGCTAAGTGAATATTAAAACTCTATTTTAAACCTATGTGTTTGGGCAAGGAGGGTTCATTATGAAGTCTCCTTCAAAGGAGACTTTGCCTCTTCCTGGGCAAAATGAAAAAGGTTTAGGTTGTTTCTCACTTTGCTTAAAGTTTTCAAGCTTCTTCAACCAGCATGAGTGTTTTTCCTAATAATCACAAAAAAAAAATAATACAATCACAAAAAAATTATTACAGGGATATTGTATATTCACAGAATCACAGAATTTCTAGGTTGGAAGAGACCTCAAGATCATTGAGTCTAACCTCTGACCTAACACGAACAGTCCCCACTAAACCGTATCCCTAAGCTCTACATCTAAACGTCTTTTGAAGACTTCCAGGGATGGTGACTCCACCACTTCCCTGGGCAGCCTGTTCTAATGTCTAACAACCCTTTCAGCAAAGAAGTTCTTCCTAACATCTAACCTAAAACTCCCCTGGCGCAACTTTAGCCCACTCCCCCTCGTCCTGTCACCAGGCATGTGGGAGAACAGGCCAACCCCCACCTCTCTACAGCCTCCTTTAAGGTACCTGTAGAGAGCAATAAGGTCACCCCTGAGCCTCCTCTTCTCCAGGCTGAACAAGCCCAGCTCCCTCAGCCGCTCCTCGTAGGACTTGTTCTCCAGGCCCCTCACCAGCTTCGTCACCCTTCTCTTGACTCGCTCAAGCACCTCGATGTCCTTCTTGTAGCAAGGGGCCCAAAACTGAACACAGTACTCGAGGTGTGGCCTCACCAGAGCCGAGTACAGGGGGGCAATCACTTCCCTAGCCCTGCTGGTCACACTGTTTCTTATGTAAGCCAGGATGCTGTTGGTCTTCTTGGCCACCTGAGCACACTGCTGGCTCATATTCAGCTGACTATCAACCATCACTCCCAGGTCCTTCTCCGCCTGGCAGCTCTCCAACCACTCATCTCCCAGCCTGTAGTGCTGCTTGGGGTTGTTGTGCCCTAGGTGCAGGACCCAGCACTTGGCCTTGTTGAACTTCATACAGTTGGCCTCAGCCCATCGGTGCAGCCTATCCAGATCCTCCTGCAGAGCCTTCCTACCCTCAAGCAGATCGACACACGCACCTAGCTTGGTGTCATCTGCAAACTTACTGAGGGTGCACTCAATGCCCTCATCCAGATCATTGATGAAGATGTTAAAGAGGACTGGCCCCAGCACCGAGCCCTGGGGGACGCCACTAGTGACTGGCCTCCAACTGGACTTCACTCCATTTACCACGACTCTTTGGGCCCGGCTATCTAGCCAGTTTCTAAACCAATGAAGCGTGCGCCAGTCCAAGCCAAGAGCAGCCAGTTTCTTGAGGAGAATGCTGTGAGAGACGGTGTCAAAAGCCTTGCTGAAGTCAAGGTAGAGCACATCCACAGCCTTTCCCTCATCCACCCAGCGTGTCACTTTATCATAGAAGGAGATCAGGTTCGTCAAGCAGGACCTGCCTTTCATAAAACCATGCTGACTGGGCCTGATCGCCTGCTTGCCCTGCAAGTGCTGTGAGATGACTCTCAAGATAATCTGCTCCATGAGCTTCCCTGGTACTGAGGTCAAACTGACAGGCCTGTAGTTTCCCAGATCTGCCCTCCGGCCCTTCCAGTAGATGGGCGTCTGTGGTGGTTTTACCGTACTGGGCAGCTAAACCCCACAACCGCTCTCTCACTCCCCCTCCTTTAGATGAGGAGGGGGAGAAGTAAAGCAAAGAACAACTCACGGGTTGAGATAAGGATAATTTAATTAAAGGGAAAATAATTATAATAATAAAATAAAGACTACCGAACTAACAATTTAACTAAGGGGAAATAAAAAGGGAAAGGGGAAAGGGAGGGGAAAAAAGGAAAATAAAAAGAAGGGAGGAAAACAAACAAACAAAATAAATGAAGGCTATATGGAAGTGCAGAGGAAAGAAATTACTCTCTACTTCCCACAAATGAGCGATGATTGACCACGTCCTTGAAGCAAGGCCTCAACGCACGCAGCCGGTGTTCGAGAGGAGGACCGACGTCTTCCAAACGAGAGCCCACCCCTCCTCTCTTCTTCCTGTTTTCCCCTTTTATTGCTGAGTGTGACATCACATGGTATGGAATATCCCTTTGATTGGTTTAGGCCAGCTGCCCTAGTGATGTTTCTCTCCTCAACTTTTGCCCACCCCCTAGGAGGGTTAGAGGAAGGCCTAATACTGTGCCACTGCTGCTCAGCAGCAGACACAACACTGGTGTGATAACACTGCTGTTCCAGCTACAAGTACAGCGTACGGCACTGTATGGGCTGCTGCTGGGAAAGTTAACATTCCAGCCAGACCCAATACAGCGTCACGTTTGCTAGCCGCCAGACAACTGGGACCTCCCCCGATAGCCAGGACTGCTGATAAATGATGGATAGTGGCTTGGCCAGCTCCTCTGCCAGTTCTCTCAGTACCCTTGGGTGGATCCCATCCGGCCCCATCGACTTGTGCACATCCAAGTGCCGTACCAGGTCACCAACCATTTCTTCGTGGATAGTGAGGGCCACATTCTGCTCCCCATCCCCTTCCACCAGCTCAGGGTACTATTTTTATATTATTGCATCAGAAGCCAAAGGAGTTACATCTTTAGTGGTAAAAAAATAAATAAATAATTAACTCTACGTCTAGATCTAATGACACCTACTTTTCATGTAGTGGCAAGCTAAATAAACATCATTGCAGGGAAACCTCACAGCAAACATTTAGCCATGGCCTTTTATTTCCTAAAGAAAGCAATTTATGTATCGCGTAAATGATAATGAATGAACACACAACCCACAGTTCAGCTATTTTACTCTGCTAAGTTTTCTATTTACATCAGTTCAGCATTAATAGAATTATTAGTTAGTAGCATCTAATGCATACTTATCCGAACTTCATTTTTATAATTATCTTAAGATGTTTACTATTAATACAAATGGAGGATTGAGAAAGGGCTTAGCAACTCTGATTTAGCATTAAAGTATCAGTTACTTACACTGTATATACTTTAGTTTGACACAGAGAGTTTTATTTTTCCTCCAACAAAAATCAGGGTATGCTCAAGGTATCACTCTGAAATGCAATTTCAGCCTATTAAAGAATTAAAGATCTTAGGTAACATGATCTTTAAGATCAAAACGCTCTCTATTTACACAGCCACAATTGCTAACATCTAAATATCAGCAATAAAAGAAAGACAAAGAACATACACATCAGTGAAGGCACTGAACTAGCTTTCTCTAAGAAGGATGAAGAAGCTTCTTACTTGCAGGAGCAGGTAAGGACATTTTCTCACTCGACAACCAAACAACTGGTAATTTGCAGAAGCTCATGCAGAGACCTCGGGTTGCTAACAGTGAAACGAGAACCTGAACAACACGCCATTACTAACCAGAGCCCATGCTGGGTAGGCATGCAATTCAGAAGCTGCTAGGCAACTCCTTCAGACCTTCCTTAACTGAAGAAGCTTCTAGAAAGAGATGTTGGTTTCCTTCATTCCAAATTCACTATATTATTTTAAAACAGTCACCAGAAAAACACTGGGGAAAAAAAAATAAATAAATAAAATAAAACAAAACAGAAACACTTAATACCAACCCCTGAACCCTTTGCACCAGCCTAGCACACAATACACATCCCAGCAAGCCAGAACAGAGAGGCCTGCTGGAAAGAGGCAGCACTGGGTCCCGGACACCATTTTACAGATCCCTAAGGTTCCCTCCACATTTTAACTAGCATAAGTTACATCTTACCTGTATAACCTACAAAAAAATTATTTCCATGCTTCTGGATATTAGAGAATGCGGTTTCTTCTGCTGGTTCCATCTAGAAGAAGGGAGGAGAGGTGGAGCGTGAAACCTTCCTTCACACATACAGCAGGGGAAGGGTGACACAGGTGTATTGCATTTTAACTACAAACAGGCCATCTAATGGAGCAAATCTGCATACGCTATTGACTCTTACTTTATAAATAGAGAGGATGAGGGGCCAGAAAGTCCTGAAGTATGCTGCCTTGCAGGTTGGAAGGTTCAATCATGAGCCAGAAAAAAAAAAAAAAAAAAAAAAAAGCAAAACACGGTATATAACCTTAACACAAAGAACAACAAAACCCCTTCAGGGGCAGCAAAGGCTCTCAGCACTGTGGCCTGCTCCTCAGCCAGCCTCAACACCTCCACCTTTAGTGCTGCACCTCTGCTGGTAGCTCTCCCCGTTCCCTCCAGAACCACCCACCCCTAGCCAAAGCCCGGCGTGCAGCCGGACCCCAAACATGCTTGCGGCCATCCAGCCCCAGGCCCCTACCTTCACCCGCACGGGGCTTCGGGGCTGGCAGCTGGCCCCGAGGCTGCGATGTGTCAACGCCAAGCTCCCGCAGGGGCCCCAAGTGCCCGGGACACGCCGGGCCCGGCCCAGTCGCTGTCTGTAGGTTCCCGGCGCGGCTCCCCGGCCCCTACGGCCCGGCCCCTGCATGCTCTGCCCCCGGGGCACCGCCGGGCTGGGGAGGCCGGGAGTGGGAGCGGGGCGGGGGGGAGCCCCGGCTGCTGGTGGCTCTGCCTTCAGCCAGGCGGCGGGCAGCGGCCTGCCTTCCCGGCTAGCCCTCGGTAATCGCTGCTTCCTCAGGGTAAGGTGGGGCATTAGCTTCATGGCCCCACAGGCAGCCGCGGGTGCCCTCCAGTAGCTTAGTGCTTTGGCTAGCTTGTGCTCTGAGGGCATGTGGTTATTTGGGTCATCTGGCATGTTTCACCTGTCCCTTCTGATGCGGTTGCTCTGAGAGCAGGATTATTTTACTCACTGCAAGTACAGCAGAGAGCATAGGCAAGGTCTGAGCCTTGCCTGAGGTTCAACAGCATTGACCCAGGAGAAACACTTGCTTTTCGTTACAGACATATGCAGCTGGTGGGGAAGACCTGCCTCATGTATCCAGATGCAATGGACAATATGCAGCAGCTACTGGAACAGAGTGACCCTAAAACTCGAGCTAAGGAACAAGACACTGAGGTAGTGGTCTGTCTTTCATGATGCCTCAGCTGAGCAGCCCACAGAGCCACAGGAACTAACCGCTACTTAGTTCTCCTGGCAGCCTCCATCTCCTTAAGGCATCCCCTTGCTCCTTCCTTCCACCTCTCCCTTGTCTTCATCAGGTGGGAGGAATGGATGAGCTGATGGACGTGCTGGAAGGTATCACCTGTTACTGGACTGTGTGCTCAACACCCTTTGCATAGGCTCTGCGAATTAGTCACATCTCCCCAACAGCACACACTTCCTCTGAGATATTTCTGTGTGGGTGATGTTTTCAGCCTTGTGGGTGCTGTGAATGTAATGCTGCCAACTCATAGTGGAAGGGGGTAGGAAAAGTGACTCTCTGTGGCTCTGCTTCCTTCCTTTCCAGGCTATGGAGCCATAACCACAGCTTTTCCACAAAGCAAGACCAAGCTCAGAAAGCTGGCCTGTTCCACAGCATAAATTGCCCCATAGTTCTGCTTCCCCATTTTGTCTCCCAGAATAACTCTGTGAGGTGCAATTAGTGTCTTCATAGCAGCACCCACAAGCTGTACAAACCCAAGGGAGAGCAGCTGGAAATCCCTGCTTCCTTTTCCCAAAGAAAAAAGGCTCCAGGTCCCTGCCATCTTTCCTCAGTAAATTCCAAGCCCTACAAGTGAAGGGAATGTTGCCACTCCTGCCCACACAGTGGCAATCAGCGATTTCACTGAATTTCGTTTCCACACTATGTACACACAAGTCAAGAGCTCAGTGAGCAAGGTAGGCTGCATCTTTCCCTTTGTCTGTGGAATCAACATATTCTCCATCCACACATTACAATAGAATATTCTGTTTGCTTTCAATGTCTACTCATTTCCAAAGGACCACTAAAGTCTGTCCAAACTGGAACATTCCCCCCCAAAAAAGTATTTCAGTTTTGTTAAAATAGTTTTTAAGAAAAAGAAAAGGTAAAACAAAACAACAGCAACAAAAATTGCTCCATAAACTCTCTTTTCAACGATTTCTGAGAGTCAAGCATAATCCCATAACTCCAAAAAAAATATGTTAAAACATCATTGTATTTGATTGCAAAGTCACAAGAGTTAAATATCAGTCCCTTCGTTCCAAATCTTTTATTTGCCTCATCCTCATTGAAAAAAATAAAGGAATTTTCCTAGGAGGAGCCAGTTCACCTTGTCTGAAGACAAAGGTTCAGAGGAAGACTAGATCTATCACAAGATCTTTCTTTCCTCCTGAACAGCAGCCCTTACAGTTTCTCTTTTTGCTTCCGTTACAGCCACTCCTTTTTTCTTTCTGAAGGCCTAAGGCCTTCTAGGGGAGAAATAAAGCCACCAGTATGAAAGTAGAGATCACGACTGACCTGTCAGAGAAGTGATCCAAGACTCACCTGCAAATACACCTGCCAGTGAGAAAACTTTATTATAAATTAAACATTTCCATCTTACACTTTTTAAAAATTAAAAGAAAACCTATAGTGATTTTGAAAAACTGGATTGCCCATCTGTGGCAGATACAGCCAATTTATGGCAAATGTCCCTTTTCAAGAGTCACTTTAAGAGCTCTAGTAATCATCCAAGTACAATCACAGCAGATTCTCCTGCTGTAACTACGAATTTAGAAAGTAGCCACATAAAGCTTAAAACTCCTGCAAAAGAAAAACCTAGGTATTCATTTTTTACTGACATGGAACCTAAATAGAGAACAAAGACAAAAATTTGTATTATCTTCTCCAATGAAAAGCTGAAATAGTTGCTTTTCCATCTCAGCATTGCAGAGCTACTTGGAACATGCCCAGGAACTCAGTTGCATGTCTGTCAGGTCACCAGAGGATAACAAATTCATCAGCTTGAGCATTACATATGGTTCTTTCTTTCCTAAAATGAAGAAGCAGAAATTATGGTTGAAATAATTTTTCTCCCTTAAAATTCAGTGGTTCACTCTAATTTTCGTTGTAATGTAAGAAAAAAAACAGCAGGTGGAGACCTACCATTGTACTATATTTACATTACAAATAGTTTCTTCATGACCCTGTAATGGCCAAAGACATATCTGTACTTTGGTATTGTACTAACACAAAATGAAGTATTTTTTTTTGCCAAAATAGTATTTTCTACACAGTAGAGTGACATTGACAGAATTCCCTCAAGTGGAGAAACACTCATACACAATAGCATGATTTATTGTGTATTTTTGACATTTTGCAATTGAAAGCCTGAATTTCAGCTTTCCAGAATTATCCAGAAAAGCCTCATCACATTTCCAAGGAAACTAAGAAATTGTCCAAAGCACAGTTATATACAGTATGGCTGTTTGAATAATTGCAGATGACAAGAATACTTGCAAAATTGTAATGTAGGAATAATTAGAAAAGCATCGAGGGAGTTTAAGATTAGTATTAAAGCATGATTTATCACTTTTATTTTTATTCCATGCATTTTGGTTTTGGTAGTATATTGTAGATCTATTTCAAAGTTGGGTAGACCCCCCATTTTTGAGGATTTCCTGGTTTTGCAAGGAAGAATAATTAAGTGAATTTCTTAAATGCAAAGTATTTGAGTGTTGGTGAGTGTAGATCATGCTTACAGGATAGGAGATATGGGAAACAGACTCAGAAAAAGTTTTCAGAAGTCATGGTGAATATCAGCAGAACATAAGCTCCAGTGGTGATGCTGTGGTGAAATAGCTAGTGTAATTCACAGAAATATAAACCAGAAAACACTACATAAAACCAAAGATATTCAAAATATTCACCCCATATTTATAACTTGGACAATTACTTCTAGCAAGCAAGAACAGATTAGCTATTGGGTTTGAAATAAGAGTTAACACAAAAAAGTTCCTTGGCTTGTATTAAGAAAGAAGTCAAACTATCACGGTCATCTTTTCTGAACTCTACCCAACCACCACCCCCAAAAGCAAAACACAAGAAACACAAGAAAGCAAAAACAAGCAAAACACAAGAAAGAAAACAAACAAACAAACAAACAACAAACATCCCATGGTACTTAATTGTCTGGTACCCCACTGAAATCTATGAAAATATTCTTAAATAAAGGATGTCAGGACCTTGAAGGCTTGAGTAAACCTTTGTGGCAGGAAGAGGACACATCAAGGAGACCGACAGAGGATGAAAACACAAGAATATGGAAGTTGTACCTTCAAGAACCAAGCAGTGGGTCCTGGAGATTTTGTGGCTAGATGGGAAGTTCTCATTTGGAGCATCAGGGAGAGTTCCCAGCACCAATGGACAGGTATTTCCTTCCAGGATTGATTCCAGGATTGGCAGAAACTTTTGGACAACTAATCTGTGTGTTTTCAGCATAATACAACAGATGCTAGAGTTAATCTGACACAAAAATTCTGTAAATCAATAGCATTTAATTAATTTAAGTAAGCATACAAGCTAGTAAAAATTCTCCCCAAACAAATCTTGTCATTAAACTTTAACAAAAATTTGGCAAGAGAGGTAACAACAGATAACTCTTGTGATAATAGCTAATTGCACTCAAAAGCAGAGATTTATCAAAAGCAGAGAAAGACATTTAAATGGCTTAAAATGTGTGAAAATAACAATTTCAGATGAGGGCCTTTTTTAACCCACGTGGGAAACAATTCAATTTCGTTGCAAAACCGGTCGAAATGACTGATTTGATATCCTTCAAAAGTGCCACCTCCTGGCCAATTTAGGAAACAGCGTTTCAGTCTAATGAAAGGAGAATTACTGGAAATCAGGTTTTGGTGTAGCCATCACGATGGCTTAGGAGACAAAGAATCACAGATGGAGTACATGATAATGCAGTCTTACAGTCTTGCTGCGCAAGTCATTGGAGACAAGAGAATGTAGACCTTTGTAGTAGATAGTCTATATGGGTGTTGCATCACAGCATAACAACAATGAAAAAGGTGCATCTGTAGGTGAAATCCCTGGGGCAAAACCCATGTCACTTTATAGTCTGGGATATGTCCTGTGAATTAAGGACTAAAACAGTCTGACTCAACAAAGTCCTGAAAAAAAGGTAAATAGTGGCATATCCCATCTTCATTTGCACCCTCATACTGGTGCATGTAACTTACTTGCAAATATAATTATGTGACATGAGCCTATATGTACATAAAATGGCATTGTGCTGTTAGCATTAATCCAGCAAATGCATCTCCATTATATTACTGAAGTTGTAAGAAGGCCTCCTTCTCCACATAATGTTTCTCAAGTTTTATTCATTCCTAGATAATCACTATATTCTGGCTGAATTGGAACTGAAATAGAGGTAAAAGAATTGTTCCCGCACTAAACAGGTATTTAGGGACACTATATGAAGCTTATAGCTCACAGAATCATAATAAATGATACTTCTTTTATATTTTCCTTTCCATGTGGCTGAGAAGAATTTTTCCATACTCAGACTGCTGTTGTCCAAGTCATCCATGGAAGCACTCACATTCAAAGTTGACTTCCTGAACCTAGATTTGTGGACAGAAAGTATCTGAATTGGAAATGGTGAAGTACTGAATTTGGATCTAAGACTATGGCCTCACACACCTGAAGAAAAAGCATATCTTGCTTTTTTTTTTTTTTTTTCCCATCCAAGCCCTGACTGTAACTTACACTTACAGGAAAGAATTGGATTATGATAGTAAAATGCTCTTAATAAGAACACCAAGGAATCAGTAATTGCTGATTACTCTTGAGAATAAAAACAAAAAGCCACAGCAAACATCACCCTTACAGCAGGAGCTGGTTACAGACTCCT